CCTAAATTAGACAGGTGTGGTGGCGCACACCTGCAATCCCAGCTACTTGGGAGGCTGAGGCAGAAGAATCACTTGAACCCGGGAGGTGGAGGTTGTGGTGAGCCGAGATCATGCCATTGCATTCCAGCCTGGGCAACAAGAGCAAAACTCTGTCTCCAAAAAAAAAAAAAAAAGTAATAAAATCAAAAAGAAAAAAAAAAAGAAGAGTTCACTGCTGGCTGCAGTGGCTCATGCCTGTAATCCCCACAATTCGGGAGGCCAGAGTAGGAGGATGGATAGCTTGAGGCCAGCAGTTTGAGATCAGCCTGGGCAACATAGCAAGATTCCATCTCTATAAATAAATAAATAAATAAATAAAAAGAATTCACTGAGATGGATGAACCTTGACAACGCTATGCTCAGTGAAATAAGCCAGACATGAAAGGACAAATCCTGTGTGATTCCACTCATGTGAGGTCCCCAGAGAAGTCAAAATCCTAGAGAGAGAGAGGAGAACGGTGGTTACCAGGAGGAGGGGGAGTGGGGAGGTTGTTTCATGGGGACGGAGTTTCAGCTGGGGAAGCTGAGTTCTGGAGGCGGACGGTGCTGACGGCTGCACGACGGTGTGAATGTACTTAGTGCCGGGGAACTGTGCCCTGAAAAGGAGTTAACATGGGAAACTGGAGATTATGTATATTTTACAATAAAAAGGTAATATCCCAATAATTAAGCCTCTTAATTATTAAGTTTTTTTGAAATGGAGTCTCACTCTGTCGCCCAGGCTGGAGTGCAGTGGCGTGATCTCGGCTTACTGCAAGCTCCGCTTCCTGGGCTCATGCCATTCTCCTGCCTCATCCTCCCGAGTAGCTGGGACTACAGGCGCCCACCACCATGCCTGGCTAATTTTTTGTATTTTTAGTAGAGACAGGGTTTCACCGTGTTAGCCAGGATGGTCTTGATCTCCCGACCTCATGATCCACCTGCCTCAGCCTCCCATAGTGCTGGGATTACAGGCATGAGCCACCGCGCCCGACCAAACCTCTATTATTAACGAGTATCCAGGATCAAACAGCCCAAGTGTGCTCAGCGAAGGCCCTTAAATAATGCTGCTTCTGGAACACAGTATTGGAGACCCAAAATGTTGACAATGGGAAAGAAAGAAAGCAACGTTCCCCAGAAGTAACAGAAGTTATGAAAAACATATCAATAAAGGTTCACTGCATACTAAAGGCCACTTTTACCTGAAAGACTGATCTTTAGGAACAATGCTACTATAGACTTTTCAAGAGATTTAAAGATAAGTACATAAAAATAGCAATAATAATAAAAGGTACTCTATATGTCTACTATTTCTAGCCTTTCTAGGTAAATATGGACCATCCATGGGTCTGACTATATTGACTGTTTTCTCTCTTGACCGTCTAGTGGCCTCTTCTGTTATCAGGGGCTGAGTTAATAGTTTAGATGAATTACAGCTTTGTTGTAGCTTTAATTAGAATTGGTTCCCAAGGGCTGGCCAGGCACAGTGGGTGGCTCATGCCTGTAATCCCAGCACTTTGGGAGGCTGAGGCAGGCAGATGACTTGAGGCCAGGAGTTCAAGACCAGCCTGGCCAACATGGCAAAACCCATCTCCACTAAAAATATAAAAATTAGCCACATGTGATATGTGATTACATGCACCTGTAGTCCCAGCTACTTGGGAGGCTGAGGCACAAGAATCACTTGAACCTGGGAGGCGGAGGTTGCAGTGACCAGAGATCATGCCACTGCACTCCAGCCTGAGAGAGAGAGAGAGAGAGAGAGAGAGAGAGAGAGAGAGAGACAGAGACAGAGACAGAGACAGAGACAGAGAGACAGAGAGAGAGAGAGAGAAAAGAATTGGTTTCCAAAGGCTTTTATACTTCTAAAGGCAAGACCATAACACTGCCTTTAGCAGAAGTTGAGATCCAGGGGCGCAGAGCAACTGCCTCATTTTTTCTGCTGTCCCCAGTCTTCGGCATTTGGCAGGCTCTGAGCATCATGCTTTACAAGGGGGCATCTCTTTCCGTTCTCCAGCCACTTTCGCAACTGCATGGTCACTGTCTTGTTCTCACTGCAAGGCCCAGAATGCTGCAGTCATTACCTCTGCTCTCCTGCCCTATCTTCAGACCTTAGCAGATTCTGTGGCCCACACCTCCAGGCTGGGGAAGGAGGAATTTCCAGAGCTCTCTCATCAATAGGACTTACTAATGTGTTAACTGCCTGCCTCTCCAGCTAGAATGCAAGTTCCATGCGACCAGGAGCCGCTGTCTGTTTTGAGTAGTGCTGTACACCCTGTGCCTTGAGTAGTACTTCCTGGCACAAGGAGGGTGCCCTTCAAGTATTCATCCAGTGAGTGAATGAATACATTCTAGCACATTAATAAGAGAAAGACCATTTCAAGGCCAAAATAATCTATTTTGCTTAGAAGGGTTAACCTGTGGTCATTATGACAGTTCTATTAAATAACCCAGTATTCAGTATTTCATAGAGATTATATACTTAAAGAGAAAGTTTGTGGTTACCTGTCAGGAATCTGAAAATACAGATGTTTTTATTTCAACTTTTAGGGAATCTGGACTTCTACCACTGCAGCCTTGACCTCCCCGGCTCAGGCGATCCTCCCATGTAAGCCTCCCAAGTGGCTGGGAGTACAGGTATACCAGAATATGCCCAACTCTTTTGTTTGTTTTTTGTAAAGATCGGGTTCTCCTACGTTGCCCAGGCTGGTCTTGAACTCCTGGCCTCAAGCGATCCTCCTGTCTGGGCCTCCCAAACTACTGGAATTATAGGCATGAGCCACCAAGCCCAGCTGCTTTTATTATTTTTAAACTGACATATAATAATGGTACATATCTATGGAGAACAGTGTTATATTTCCATATATGTATATAATACGTACTATATACAAATGTTTGCATACATTATGCAGTGTATGCATATAGAGAATACATTTTGTGCACTGTATATACATATAAATATATGTCTACAATGTATACTATGTACAATGTATACAGTCTGTAATCTGTACAAATATGTGTATACAACATATATGTATACAATGTGTAATGTGTAAAAATCAGGGTAATTAGCATATCTATCTCAAACACTTGTTTGTGTTGCAAACATTCAAACTCCACTCTTCTAGCTATTTGAAAAACATAATAAATTGTAAATTACAGTCGTTCCATACTGCTCTAGGACCCTAGAACTTATTCGTCCTATCTAGCCATATTTTTGTATCCACTAGCCAACCTTTGGCTAGCCCTCTCCCCATCCTTCCTTGCCTCTCGTAACTACTATTCTACTCTCTCCTTCTAGAAGATCAACTCTTTTCGCATCCACGTATGAGTGGGAACGTGCAATATTTATCTTTCTGTGCCTGGCTTATTTCACTTAACGTCATCTCCTCCAAGCTCATCCATGCTGCCACGAAAGACAGAATTTCATTCTTTTTGGTGGCCAAATAGTATTCTCTTGTGTATATAGAAAACACTTTCTTCATCCACTCATCTGCAGGTGGATACTCAGGTGGATTCCATATCATGGCTATTGAGTGTTACAATAAATATAGGAGTGCAGCTATCTCTTCAACATACTGATTTCCTTTACTTTGGATGTATCCCCAGCCGTACGATTGCTGGATCATACGGTAGTTCTATTTGTGGTTTTTTGAGGAACCTTTATACTGTTCTCCACAGTGGCAGTACTAATTTACATTCCTACATTGTGTAAGAGTTTCTCTTTCCCACATACTCACGGGCATTTATGTTTTGTCTTTTTGATCACAGCTATTCTAACTTGGGTAAGAACATATCTCATTGGGGTTTTGATTTGCATTTCCCTAATTTAATGATGCTGATCATTTTTTCATATACCTGTTGGTCAGCTGTGTGTCTTCTTTTGAGATGACTACTCAACTCATTTGTCCATTTTAAAATCTAACTTTTTCTGTTCACTTGTTTGAGTTCCTTAAATTCCCCTACCCGATGCGTAGATGGCAACTATTTTCTCCCATTCCGTAGACTGCCTCTTCACTCTGTTGATAGTTTCCTTTGCTGCGCAGAAGCTTTTTGATTTGATGTAATCCCATTTATCTCACTTCACTTTGTTGCCTGTACTTTTAAGGACTTCTCCATAATTTTTCTCCAATCTTTGCCCAGACCTAGGCAATACCATTCTAGACATGGGAACGGGCAAAGATTTCATGACAAAGACACCAAAAGCAATCACAAGAAAGGCAAAAATTGACAAATGAGAACTAAACTGAGGAGCTTTTGCACAGCAAAAGAAACTATCCACAGAGTAAACAGATGACCCATAGAATGGGAGAAAATTTTTGCAAAATATGCGTCTGACACAGGCGTAATATCCAGCATCTGTAAGGAACATACACACATTTACAAGAAAAAAAAAAAAAAACCATTAAAAAGTGGGCAAAGGACATGAACAGACACTTTTCACAAGAAGACATACATATGGCTAACAGGCATATGAAAAAAAGTTCAGCCGGGTGCAGTGGCTCACGCCTGTAATCCAGGCACTTTGGCAGGTCGAGGTGGGTGGATCACGGGGTCAGGAGATCGAGACCATCCAGGCTAACACAGTGAAACCCCATCTCTACTAAAAATACAAAAAAATTAGCCGGGCGTGGTGGTGGGCACCTGTAGTCCCAGCTACTCAGGCAGGAGAATGGCATGAACCCGGGAGGCGGAGCTTGCAGTGAGCCGAGATCACGCCACTGCACTCCAGCCTGGGCGATAGAGCAAGACTCCATACCAAGAAAAAAAAAAGCTCAACATCACTGATCATTAGAGAAATGCAGATGAAAATCACAATGAGGACGGGCACGGTGGCTCACACCTGCAATCCCAGCACTTTGGGAGGCCAAAGTGGGTGGATCACTTGAGGTCTGGAGTTTGAGACCAGCCTGGCCAACATGGTGAAACCCCGTCTCTACTAAAATTACAAAAATTAGCCAGGCAAGGTGGGGCACCTATGGTGCCAGCTACCCAGAAGACTGAGGCAGGAGAATCACTTGAACCTGGGAGGGAGAGGTTACAGTGAGCCAAGATTGTGCCACTGCAATCCAGCCTGGGTGATAAAGTGAGACTCCATCTCAAACAAAACAAAACACAACGAGGCCAGGTGTGGTGGCTCATGCCTGTAATCCTAGTACTTTAGGAGGCCGAGGCAGGTGGATCACTTGAGGTCAGGAGTTCAAGATCAGCCTGGTAAACATGGTGAAACCCCATCTCTACTAAAAATACAAAAATTAGCTGGTTATGGTGGCGCACACCTCTAATCCCAGCAGAATCGTTTGTGCCCGGGAGGCGCAGGCTGCAGAGAGCTGAGATCATGCCACTGCACTCCAGCCTGGGTGACAGAGCCAGACTCTGTCTCTAAAAAAAAAAAAAATACAGTGAGATACCATCTTAACACCAGTCAGAATGGCTGCTATTAAAAGGTCAAAAATTAAAAGATGCTGGAGAAGTTGCAGAGCAAAAGGAATGCTTATGCACTGTTAGTGGGAGTGTAAATTAGTTCAACCATTGTGGAAAACAATGTGGTAATTCCACAAATGCCATTCACACCAGCAATCCCATGACTGAGTATGTAACAAAAACAATGTAAATCGCTCACTTATAAACAAACACGCCCACGTATGTTCACTGCAGCACAACTCACAGTAGCAAAGACATGGAATCAAACTAAATGCGCATCAATGGTGGACTGGATAAAGAAAATGTGGTACATACACACCATGGAATACTATGCAGCCCTAAAAAAGAATGAGATCA